GATTATGTCTCGCTTGCTCTTTGGGAGGTAACAGATGTTGTCTATTCAGTGTAAAGAAAGTGATTTCTTGTCCTGACTCACACATCATCTGGGTGACCTTGGATGAGACACTCTTGCTGAGTCCCACTTTGTTTGGGGATTTTTGGGAATTTAATCTTTGGAGTTGATGTAGGGAATTCCTAGATTCCAAAATTTCTCGATTTCTAAATTCTTCTTACTTTCAGTAATCTTGTATACCTTCTGAGATGTGTAGCTCCTTCTCTCTCTCCCTCTCCCTGTCCTTCTCCCTCTCTTCTGAGCCTTATACCCGAATAACTGCTCTGTGCCCTAATAGAGGAAGAAATGGCAAACATAGCTCCTTTACCTATCCTTTACTTTCTTTCTCACTCAACATGTTTGAGGCTACAATCTCTTCTTGTGTGTGTGTGTGTGTGTGTGTGTGTGTGTGTGTGTGCTAGAGTGCTACTTCTAATGACATTTTATTTTATGACTATTTTTAATTCAGAGTTTTCATGAATCTTATATGCAGCTTCTCATTTTATTGTCTTACATTATTAGCATGGCACATTTGTCATAGTGAAGAGCTGGTACATGTACCTGACAGCTAACTGAAGCCGATCCTTCATCCAGATCATTCTAGAAGTGTTCTTTGGCAGCTCTGAGATTCTGTCCAGGATTCCATGGTACATTTACCTGTCACATCTCTTCAGATTCCTCTTGCCTGTGATATTTTGTCAGTTTCTGCTTCTTCGATAAGGTTGACAGATTTGAGGAGGAGTAGACAAATGCTTTGTATATCTTTCACTTGGGTTTTGTCTGATGTTTTCCTCCATATTGGATAGAGGTTGTAGCTTTTTTGAGAAAATCACCGAGGTAAAACGCCATTCCCATCCCACCCCATCAAGCATAATACAATCCACATCACTGATCACTGTGTTCACCTCGATCCCTTGTGTGAGGAAGTGTTTTGTCCTTCAGATTTCCCCCACCATATCATCTCTCTCTCCCTCCATTTCCATACTGAATTTTTTGGGAGGAAGCCACTATGCACAAGCAAAGGAAGTTAATTTCTTATTCACCTCACTGGTCCCAGTGGGTATTTTTGATTGTCTTCTCCTCATCCTTTATTCAGGGACCCAGCATTCTTCTGTTCTGTTGCTCTGACATTCCCTAGGGCTTTGCTTTCTTAATCCAGTCAGCACTAGTGAAAGGAAAGTGTGGAGGAGAATGTTTGCTTTTAAAATCCTTGGCCTGAAAATGGTACACATCACTTCCACTTACATTCCATATGACACTCCTTCATCTGCCAAACCTAATTTCAAGGGAGGCTAGGACATATGGTCTAGCTGGGTGCCCAGGAAAAACAGGAAATGGATTTGAGAGAAAATGCTAGCAGTATTTGCCTCATTTCTTAAGAGCATAAAAGGTAACAAGTCAATCCCTTCTTTCTTCCCATCTCACAATATAGCCACGATTTCTTTAAGAAGTTAAAAAAGAAAGTAATGGGAGAACATAGATTTAGAATCAATGAGAATTGTAGACATCAAAAAGATGTAGAATACAAAATGTATCACCTCTAGTTCATTAACTTCACCATTGACCCACGAGCACATGTCTAGGGCAGGTACGTACATGTCAGCATTTGAGAACCTGGGCCCTATGCTTGCTCAGTACCAGATTGGATTTTTCCCAGAATCCACCGCAACTTCCTGTCAGGAGTCCCTCCCTCTGGCTTTTATTGCCTATGAAAAACCTATTCATTCTTCAAGTGACAGATGAGACATTTAACCATGCCTCATAGTCCATTCTGTCTGCCCAACTGTCCCACAGAATTAGTCTCTGCTCTTTGGGTCTACCATATTCCCCGTACTGGGATTGAACCCAGGTCATATATATGACTGGCAAGCACTCTACTGCTGAGCTACTTCCCCAGTCATTTTTTTTTTCTTGGTACCAGGGATTGAACTCGGGTTCTTGCGCTTGCAAGGCAGGCCACTGAACCGCTGAGCTAAATCCCCGGCCCTATCATTTTTATTTTTTATTTTGAGATAGGGTCTCAGTAAGTTGCCCTGACCAGCCTCAAACTTGTGGTCCTCCTGCCTTAGCTTCTCTAGTAGCTGGGATGACAGGCATGTGCCACCATGCTCAATTTGTATCGTTCTTTGAAATATAGTACAACAAGCGGGTGAAGGGAGGGTAGGGACAAGGGGAAAAAAGGAGAACTAAGACTTGTCATGTAAAGGTATAAGATCCCAATAATGAATGTATCTGTACTGTATACCTAAAATGTACCAATAAACTCAATGAAGAAAAAAATATATAGTGCAACATGTTTTTACCCCCTATAAAAGGCAGTTTCACTATGTTAGCCAGCTTTCATGGAGGTGTTTGTCTTGAATTGAGCTAGAGCTTTATAAATGGGAATATGGTACTGACCAGTAAGGTGGGCTATACAGCTTTGTGTGGAGCCATCTGAGTTGAGGTTCTGGGCACTTGTTCAGTGGGTTGACTGTGAAACTTATGTAGTATGACGTTCACTTTTATAGACGATCACCTAATTAAGGGTCAGACTCAGCACTTGCTCTGGCACTACTCTTGGAAGTAGGGGTTGGCATAGAAATCTGGAGCTCATTATCGTGAGCAGGGAGTTACCAACCTGAACTCCCAAGGTCCCAACAGGTGGATAGTTTCACCATGGCAAAATGAAGTGCTTAATTACAGACACCAAGAGGAGCATGAAGAAAACAAACACTCATTAGCAGGTTTTAATGATTACAATGCCCTGCATCTCATTACCATCAAAATTGTAACTTCTTAAAGTGACCTCACACTTGCTACAACTAAAACGTGGATGAAGAGATGGTTGTCCCTTTCCTTCTTCCTATTCTCTTTCTACCCTGTACTCTCAGCCTGCTGTTTGCTTCAGTGGTTTTACCAGTTCAGTCAATATTGCACAACAGAAATCAGGATACATAGAGTCTGTTCACAGTGATGTCTTTTCCTCAGTTACATTTTCCATAGTCTATACTGTAAACCTCAGTTAGGATATATATTTGGCATCTTCAAGATCGGGGTGGTAAACCTGTGGCACATGTGTCACAGCAGGCTATTCATTATCATTGAAAACTCTAAAAGGTTTGCCATCACTGTTTTAGTTCATGCTATCATTTTGGTATTTACTTGAAGTTCGCAGTAATTGGAGTTTGGGTTGGAATTGTATTTTCTCATATAGATGCAAAAACAGAGATTCACATATCTAGTGACATTCTCAGGACCAAAAGGCAATTAGGATTCAATCCTGGGTCTTCTGAATCCAAATCCTCCCGTTATGCAAGAGGTTGCCAGTTAACCAGGTGGCCTCAGGGCAGAATTGCACAGAGAGCTGCTTGTAGTGAGCTTAGGTAGTGAAGTGTTTCTGTGATCAGACCTGGTAGATGGGGTGGGCATGGTCTATGGAGGTAAAACATTGAAGCCAGATCCATTAGTCAAGTTCTGCAGCACTCTGGACAGAGAATTCTAATGAGCTCAGAGTGAATGGACTCATTAAAGGGGAGAGGGGCTAGGATCATTTAGTCTAACTTTCAGATTTCATTGAGAAGGAAATCGACACCCAGAAATATTAAACGGAGTTGATTTAACTCAAAAAGAATAGTTATTAGTCAAAACGTTTAATTTGCAGTTCATTTCTTTTTACATGATCTCCCTCCTCATACACAATTTTCTTGGCACCTTTTGTGTGTGAGGGCTGCTTTGAAGAAGGCACGATGATACTGGCTTTGTCCTGACTGTTCCACATATTTTCCCTCAAGTCATATGTGCAAAAACACATATGGTAGTGGGTAGGACGATTTCTACAGAGTTAAATGCATCCAGTTGTAAACTAGAATTCCTTTTAGGTCTCAGAATCAATGAATGCATTCCACATACTGTACATTGCCTGGGGGGATTCTTAGTAAATTGAGCAAATGAGTAAAGGATGAAGTGGAGGGGCAGGCATTCAGCAATTGTCCTACTGAACACACTATGTTGCTATTGCTATTTCAGCAATCCTATGATTTCCATCGTTGCCTAAACGTTTATGCCCCAAAGCAGCATTTTTCTTCTCTATCCTCCTCCCCACTTTATAACACAGTTAGGGCTGTAAATGCACTACAGTAATGTTCACCCAACACTAGAGACAAAAAAGATGGTGATGCCCTGGAAACTAGATTGTTACTAGTACCCAGCACCACAATGCGAAGGCTTTAAATATTATATTAGCTGATGTACAAAATCCAAATGTGTTGTACAAAAACCATTCTGAGAGTTTCTATCTGTAGTGGTCTTAAGAATGAGGACTATTTCTGGTTTGAAGTTGATTTTATTTATTACTGAAGCAACAACTTTCTCAGTACTTGGGTTCCTCCCTAACAAAGCATTTCATGAAGGAAGAATCTGTATTTCTATATAACTTCTGGTGACATCTCATGACCCTGAGGGTTTTCTGTTTGCCAAGATATTCTTTCTGGATGAACTTGGTCAAAATTTCAAAATCTAGGCATTTCTGATGGGTAATTGACATCCTGCAGGAAAAGAAATCTTCAGAGTCTGATTATGACTGCTGTAAGCTGTAAGCTTAGGAGAAATCACAGTGGTATTTTGGCCTAAACAAAAGCCAGTTGGAACCAGACAATAGACTTGGTGGCATCTTGCATCCAGACATCAGGTGCATGAGGGAGGGAAAGTAATTCATTTTTGAGCATGCCTATATATTTTGTAAATTATAATTAGTTTTTATTTATTCTCATTTGATTTACTGCTGCAAAGATTTGTGATTCTATCTCTAGGAGGAAGAAAAAAACATTGGCTATAATACTGAAATGCCCCTTTCCAAGTACTCTTTTTAATACTATGCCATTGGCATTTATACATTTACTTACAGAAAGTGTTTAACAATTTCAAGTGTGCATTTTTATAAACAGTATAAAAATGCGAATAATTATTTCATTTTTATTTTTCAGAACCCCAGCTGAAAGGAATTGTGACAAGGTTATTCAGCCAGCAGGGATATTTCCTGCAGATGCACCCAGATGGTACCATTGATGGGACCAAGGACGAAAACAGCGACTACAGTAAGGGACATTAGCTTCTTGCACTCTGATTAGCAATCAAATGTGTGGCCCAGTGTAGCTCATACTCAGAGCATGGCCAAGCTGGTCAAATTAAACTATTGAATGATTACTGAGCTAATCTTTTCCTTTATCCTTTTGCATGAAGTCAAGAGGCAGTGTAGGGGTGAGGTTATGCACTAGATGAGAAGGTACAAGACTTGAAGGAATTCCAGCTGGTCAGTAGATGAATATGTCTTCCATTGCAGCTTTTTGTCCCTAAGGTGATAAGTAATCATAGGAAAAATGCAGATCTTGCAGCCTTATGCTAATATTTAAATTACTATTTAAATCTTGAAACCAAAAATTGAACACATTATAATTTTCAGAACACTTTGTGGTAGACAAAAATCAACTTTTTGGTAAACGTTAAAAAAAATATATATATATAATTTCATTTTGGTTAAGGATACAACTAAAGAGAAATGTATTTGCATATTATAGTGTTTTGAAGTATATATAGATATAATAGAAACAAGATAGCAAAGACTGGTAGACCTGACATGTAATTTTTAAGATAGCATTTTTGAAATAAACATGGCCAATACTATACTTGAAAATAGTTTTTTAAGTAATTTAATTTTAGAGTTGACAAGTTCAGTAACTAAATACAATCAGTCGGGTATGACATTGTATTTGCATTTCAGAAAACTTTCAATAGAAGCTTCAGAGGGAAGAATGATAGCTCTCATGTATTTTAATTTTTTTCATAATCAAATACCGACTCATCAGGGTAAATTCAGAGTCTTCTGAAATCATTCAAGGTGCCATATTGTTTTGTAAAATTTGTCTGGAATCACTGATGGAGTTTTAGTGTTGCACACATAATAAATGTTCATTAAATATCTGCCCAATGGAATTGTGATTCTGTTGGATAAATGTAATTATTTTAGTTAGATCAACAATCTCGCATGCTACATACATAAAGCAATCTAGGAAGCCTGATATTTTGTAAGGGTGACCCTTGAAATGAGAAATGTAGATTTGAAGAAGGAGCAAAAAACCTTAAAGTGCCAAAGTGGTCTTGTCCACCCCTGCTAAACTTTCTTTGTTCATTTAATTTTACACATTACAAAATATGAATTACAATAAAGAAAAGATCTTATTATGGAGACCTTCTCAGTGTTCTTCCTTTCAGTTTTGAGTGAAGTAGTTGATTAGTATATTGTGGATTGAATTGTTGGTTTGTACTGCTGTAAATGCATGCTTCAAAGAATTCCAGTCTCCAATTCAGTACAGAAGAATGAGGATGCCCCACTCTTCATGTGAGATTTTCATTTACTGTGCCTGCCTGCACTTTGAATGTCAATTTAGGAGGCTAAAAGTATAAAGGGAAAGAATCAGGGAGCTGCTTAGCTATTTCACTCGTGGTCATTATGAAATGTCAGTTACTTCTGCTGTCCTGGTTTCTTTTTCATCAGATGAGGTGACTAGAGATGATGACATCCACAGTCTCTGTCAACACCATCCACCCAACATTGACAAAATTGAAATGTTATACATTGATGAAGATAGATTCAATCTCCAAGTAAACCAGAAGGTCATATTCAGTTCCATGGGATGCTTTCTTAACCCAGCAGTTGGGTGACACTAACACAGGCCGGGACAGAAGGGAAGAGCATAAGTGTGGGATTAAATACACAGGAATCTTTCCTTCACCTTTGCTAGAATGTAACTGAAAGTGCTTGCTCTGCTGATGCTGAGTTTGCTGCGGCGTAAATCCATACCTACATGTATTAGCATACATTTATACCCCCATAATTATATATTAAATGATATGCATATATTATATACACTTATATATATAATATATATACACCAGAATAATGTCTGATATACATGTAGCACATACATACCCCACCACAGTGAGAACAGTGCATTCTGTATTTTGTCTAATGCATTTAGAAATTGTCTGATCTCATATTTAGACCAATTTTTCTAAGATGAGCTACTGCACACATTTTTTGATAAGCTGTTATTAAGCTAGTTTAGATTAAAAAATGAAAGAATAATATAACTTCATTTGGATGCCTACCACCAGCTTAAAAGTTCACTAAAATTTTCAATACATTTGAACCTCCTATGTGTTCTCTCTGATGGAATCCTGTGTCCCTTCATAACCAGATATAATCACTCTCCTAAATATGAGTTTTCTTGGTTCCATGCATTTTCCATACGTCTTTTTGTGGAAAAGTACACTTAACCCACTCATAATATTTTGTGTATTTTAAAACTTTTTATAAGTGATAGTAATATCATACATATCTCTTATACCCTTTTTCCTTAATATTATGGTTGTGAGATCTTTTTGTAGCTGATATAAATGGTCCAGTGTATGAATTACCCAAACATTTGTCAGTCCTTTTCTTTGGCTATTAATTATCATTTCTGATTTAAATCAATTACAATCAGTGCTGTAAAGATTGTTCCCTGCAGATGTTGAAAAGCTCTTCCTCGACCATGCTTCAGACAGTTATGGAACACGTCTCACGTTGGCACTGTCTGTTCTGATGCCCAACTCCGTTAGGCACCTTTCTTTGCCTCTAACAAATACTTGTGATAAATCAACTTTGAGAAGAGGAAAAATTTATTTTGGCTCATGATCTTAATTCAGTCCATGAATGATTGTGCTGGTTGCATCGGGCCTGTGGTGGTACCGTTAAGTGCACAGTGGTGGGAGCTGGGGCAGAGGAGGCCTGTTCACCTCATAGCTGGGATGTGAAAGGGAAAGAGGAAGTGGTGAGGCCCCACAATCCCCTTCGAGGATTTGTCAACCCTGCTGACCGGAAGACCTTCCACTAAGACCCTCCTTTTTAAATTCCCAGCCGCCAATGACACTGTGCCGGTAACCAAGACATTAACACATGAGCTTTGAGAGGACATTCCATATCCAAAGCATAGGACTGCCTTTACTTTTATTCACAACTCCCGTGACATTTTGACGTGTATACTGTGACACATTATTTATTTTTATCTTTCTCAGAAGAATGTAAGTTCTTTATACAGAGATTTTGTTTAGGCTTTTTTTTTTTTTATATCTTGTTAGAGTGCCTTCTCATACATAGTAAACAATGCAAACAGAATGAGTGAATGAATTAATGAACGGGCCAAGGTCTCCTTGTGAATATGTGCCAGAGTTTTTTCTGGGTCATTTGCCAAATACTTCTACCCACCCATGTATTTTTGAGTTTTTTCTTTAGAAATCATTTTAGACTTCAGAAAAATTACAGCGTAATGTGGCAAGCTCTTTTAGACCCTCAACCATCTTTCTGTGATGGTGCCATTTCACATAAGAACAGTACAGTTATCCAAATCAGGAAATGAACACTGGTACCCCACTGTTTACTGAGCTACGGCCTTTATCAGATTTCACCTTTTTCTTCGGCTAATGTACTTTCTTTGACCCCTTTTCCACATATTTTTTTATAAATTTCCAAAGAAAAATAAAGTGATTTGATATATAGATTTTCTGAGTGAGGAATGGGGTAAAATGTCAGGGAGATACTAAAATTCTACTCGTGCTTTTTAATAGAAAAATTATAAGCCTCTAAGTTGTTAAGATGCCTTTTCTTTCTCTACTTTGTGTGGGTGGAGAGTAAAAGCAGTTGATTGTTTGAGAAAAAATCTTGTTACTATGAGCATCTGTCAGAAAAGTGTTGTTTGGTTTGCTAGACATTATTTGGTCCAACCAACTTTACCATGGTATCTCGCACAGAATTGATAAAGACACCTGTTCTTTTGTTCACAAAGTAAAGACTAATTATATGTAATTGAGTACAAGCGCAAATGTATTTTTCAGCAGTAACAGATAAGAATCTCTATGAATGTAATGATAACAAAAAAATGCAGAACTGTGTCGGAACACTGGTGCTACAAAAGAGACACTTGCAATTTGGAGGGTAATAATAGAAATATTTTACATAAAATTAGAAAGGTAATTATTCTGCTCCACCAGTTACCATTGAAAATACATTTGAAGAGGTTAAAGAGAAAATGATGAAGATATTGTAACAAATGCCTTGTTCACTTTTCCTCTGAACAAAAATTGGTAGGATTTTTTTTTTTTTTTCCAAGGGCCTAGGCTACCTGGTAGGTCAGTGCAGTGGTCACATTGAAAGTCTTCCAGCACCTGCTGTACTGGCAGTGGAAGCCAGGATAGAAGTTGCAGATGTGTGTAAGTGGTGGATGGAAGAGTCTCAGAACTTGGTGACTGAAAGTTGGCTCCAGTCTTGAGAGCCTTTTAAAAAATATGCTTGTCTTATGCTGCATGCATGAGACAAGCATGTGGTACAAAACTGTAAAGGCACCAAAGGGTATGCAGTTGAGAAAGAACAAAACAGTATGTGACAGCCAGGTCCTGGCTTGGTGCTCCCAGTGGGCTGGATGTTTTACTGGGAACAAACAGTTTGACATCACGCAAGATCGGGACAAGGCCACTGTGATGCCATAGATCAAGACGGAAGCAAAATCACTGTGAAACCAAGTGCATGGTCCAGCTTCCCAAATGAAACTTTCTCCGTCCTGCATCATGTAAGCGCTTCTTCTGCTTCACTAACTGTACAGTCACATTCACCTTTTTAGGTGGATCTGAAACAATCCCACAATTCTCCGAGCTCGCCCTAGTCTCTGACCACACCCAAATTCTCTGAATCTCCTCTTACACCATTTTACTGAGATATAGCAGATTGGTCATGGTTTGTGTTGTTTTCTCCTTTGTGTGCAGTAGTTAAGTCCAACTCTATTCAGCCCAGTGTGCTCCTGATGTTCTTGGGTTGGAAGACATTGGGATAATAAAAAACAAATTTCTTTTCCATCCTCCCCCTGCCAGCTAGTCCTATGCTTGGTACATTTCCAGGTATAGTTTCTGTATTTATCAAAATATAAAACCTCTACTCTCTCTTTCTCTTTCTTTCTCTCTCTACATCTCTCTTGTTCAAAATCATTTTTACTTACAATTTACATTT